AGAGTTACTGCTGATGACAGGAACAGGCAGACGAGCTGAAAACATAAGAGTATAAGAGGAATACAGATCAATCTAAAAATGCTTGGGTTAATGCTGTAAAAAAAAAAGGTTAGTGTGAAATTACAGTATGGGACCACATCTTTTACTGTGGTGTCTTGGGCTACCTTGCCAAATGGCTTAACACTAGAAACCAGAGGTGGGACCAAGTCATTGTTTTGCAAGTCACAAGTAAGTCTTGGGTCTTTGCATTCAAGTCTTGAGTCAAGACAGACAAGTCCAAGTCGAGTTGCAAGTAGTGCAAGTATATTATTTTATGTTCTTACATAGGGTAGTCCTTCAACAAATATTGATAACAACAAATTATTCAAATTTCAAGAAATGAGGCACGGAAATTTATTCAATGCATGTCAATGTATTTTGTGGCTCAAACAATTCATAATGACCACAGCTGATGGCTTGGTTTAGGGACTATGTGCGCTACTATGTAGTAGCCTGTCAGATTTACAACACGTGAATTCAGCCATTTCTTCTGAAAGACATGAAAGTGTGTGGCTGGTAAATAGGGAGAAAAATAGAGTGAACTTTATAGGTAGGCTACATACAATGTGCGTTTGTCGTGAAAAATATATATTATTATACATCGGTGTATAATATTATTATTACTATTATAAATGGTTTATAGTGATGATGTGTATTTTAAATGTCTGAAACATTAAATAGCCTAAAACATTATGTGGTTGAAAACACTGACAAGCATTACTTGGCCCCTCTCTGGCTCAGTGCCAAAAGCCGCGCTAATCATGGCTACTAGTGTGATCCGCTTCCAAAAGGGTCTGGCTGCAGACTTGTACTTGCACTCTCAGCTTTGCACTCTCAGACACTTGCACTCTCAGCTTTGCACTCTCAGACACTTGCACTCTCAGCTTTGCACTCTCAGACACTTGTACTTCCGCTAGCGACGTCACTTGTAGTCTTGCAATTTTGTTCTATTTATTTATTCTTTTTGTTTGAATCTCTGAACATTTTACAACAGTAGCCAGGTGGTGAAGACAAGACAAAAGAAACTAAATTACGAAGTCACTTGCAATCGCCACTTGCACTCTCCGATACCTGCGACGTCACTTGCAATCGACACAAATCGTGCGTGTTGCCAATGGAGACAAGACGCTGTGGTGATTAAACGATTAAAACTAATTTAG